AAGCGGTGGGTGAGAGTGGACACCCATTCAACTACCATTTTATAGGCAGTTTCCTTATACCCCCTTTATAGATTAGCTTCGTGAATGAGGCATACTAGCGATTGACTGACCATATTCTTATATATATAATATTAAACTTTAATATAATATATATATATAAGGGTGTTTTAAAACTTTTTAAAACTTCAAGGGTTTATAAATTTCGAAATTTAAGCTATTAAATTTAAATTTAAATAAACCAATTAACTAGATTTAATATTATCTTTTAATTAACTATAATCAAATTATTAAATCTTGTAAGGATTATCTAATTAAATTAATCCATTAATTTAATCCTAATCCTTATCCCTCTAAATTTCGAAAATAGGGTAAGGATAATTATCCAATTAATCTAATTAAGTAACAATATCCAAAAACAAGAAACCCTAGTTATCCTCTAGCATATTTCGAAATTTACAAGGGAGGAGGCTAGGGTTTTCAAAACCCTAACCCTAATTTCGATTAGGGTTCTTTGGAGGCTAGGGTTTTCGAAAAAACCCTTTGATCCAAAACCTAGAAATCGAAAATTTGGCCTTTAGGGTTTAATAGCTAAACCCTAATTTGCAATTCAACAATTGTAGCAATTCATTTAAAACAACAATGGCTCTGATACCACTGATGGGTTTTAGGTACAACAAATAAACTAGAAAAACAATTCTAAGTTCACATGCAACCTACTTTGGATCTATGTTTTAACTATTGAACATACAACTTTGAATTGCAAAACAAGGAACCCTAGAGGAGAGAGGCTATTTCGAAAATAGTAAACTAGGGTTTAGGTTTTACATACCTTTCAATTGTTATAGCAAACAATTGATATTCCCTTGATCTTGATCTTGATCTTCTTGGAAGCTTTAGCACCACAAGTGTAATGCCTCTAATGGAATCACACCCCAACTAGAATGAAGGGGAAAGTAGAGAGAAGAGAGGAGAGGGAGTATGCAAAATCTCGGCCTTAGGGTTTCTTCAAAAGAAAGAGTGACCAAAAAATGAACCAGGAGGCTCCTTATATAGCTGAGGGATCTAGGGTTTAAGGGAAACCCTAGTTATCCTTTGCTTAGGGCCTAAGCAAACCCAAGGGCCTTATCCAAGCCCCTATGGACGAAATTATTAGGGTTTCCCCTAAAGATTTCGTCCACCCTCTTCAAGGGGGTTCTAGAGCCTTCCACTCAACTATTAGATAATTGCAAACTAGTCCCTGCACCTTATAATTAATTCTTTTAACCCCAAAATCAATTCTGATTAATTTCTGGCTAACAATTAATTAAACATAATGATTTCTATTAATATATTATCCATTAACATATTTAATAAATCATTTATATATTATATATTATATATATTAATTATTAATCTTATAAATTAATATCTCTCCTTTCATAATTTCCTTGTCCAGTTGCTAGGTTGAGGGCAACCCAAAAGGACTGTGCTGCTGTCAATTCAAGTACATACCAATTATAGTTATGGGCTTAGACACCTAATCCAACATGAGGAACCGAAACTGCGCCTTCGGTTGTTGGGTTGAGAGCTGAAACCACTCTTTCGGTTTCTTTCGCTTCTATTTTGGGGACCAAAACTTCCTTTTCGGTTTGCTTGGCTACATGAAGAGCATTGAGTGCAAGAAGCATCTTGATTCTTTAACACTCCTTTATACTTAGCGGTTGATCTCTTGTCTGATTGAACGTAATTTGGGTTTTGGGACCGCCAAAACTGTTTCCTTTCTGTGAGATTTTTCTTGTATCTCCTGTTACGTTGATGTTTCTTTTCAGACACCTGTTTGGGAGTTTTATGGATGTTGGCCTTAGGTTTCGATCTTTTATCTGGAGTTTCGCTCTTTAACAAGGAGGTTTCACTTAGCACCTTAACCGATTCACTTCGAATCTTTTTGGTACCACTGGTTGATGGCACATCAAAATGTGTAGGCTTGTTGAGTGGTTCTGGCACATATCTGCCTTTAACCCTCCATGATGTTTTCTTAGATAAACCGATCGTTTCATCAAAATTGTCTATTGGAGCCGACCAGAAAACTTCATCACATCCATCAGCATTATCTTCGTTCACTAATGCTGTGAGTTCGGCTGTTTGATTCTGTTTAACGCTGGTAACAGCATAAACTTGATTTGGTGTGGTCTGGACCTTCTGATACACCACAACCTTTTCTTTCATAATTTTGGACTTATTTTGGGACAAACGAGCGAATTCAACCGAGTTTTCAGAAATGAGATTTTTGGTGGGTTTGGGTTCGTTCTTGACAAATTCAGAACAGTCTACCACATCTTCTACAGATATTTCACTCATATCATCATCCTCATCAAATTCAGAAGTATTTTTAGCATTAATTTTTGTTTCTGAACTCAACTTGGCATTCAATGAATCAAATTTCTGCATAGTTTCGGTTTTAATTTTCAATTTATCATTTTCGTCCAATAAGTTCTTAAGCATGTCCTTGTGGTCTTTGGACTGGATAAAAGATTCAATTTTGTCAAGACCAATTTTATAGCCAGGAGAAACTTCATCAGACGAGACTACAACTTCACAATCATAAGCATCAGCATCAATTACGTCCTCCTTTAATTCAAGGAAAGGAAGAACCATACTGTGAATTTTCCTGCCTATTTCACAAACCAGATGCAATTGAGTGATATTGGAATATAAACGTTTAGCAATTAAACAAAAAACATTTCTCTGTTTCAAAAGCTTCAAATTATCCCTTTGCAAATAAATTGTCTCATCCTTAATTTTAATTAACTCTTTCTCCTTTTGCTCAATCCACATTCGCCTATCCTCACTCTTCAAAGACACCCTGCTGAGTTGATCAGTGAGGTTAGAATTTGTGAGGCGATTTTGGGTTAAACTACCACTTAAACTAGAAAATTTAGATTTTAATCCGTTCAATTCCATTTCATAGTTTGTGGAAGGGATTTTTAGTGATTTGAGAATAGATTGTACCTTCTTTATCAATTGGTCGCACTCATTGATTTGCTCGCCAACAGGCTTGGCAGTGAAGCACATGTCTTCTCGTTCCTTTGCTTCATTTTCTCCCCCCCATCAGTGGTGTAACCCCTCATCTGTGACACTCCAGCTGTCACCATCAAACACTTTCCTTCAGCGGCATACTCATCTTCTTTTGCCACGAAAGCTCTGTCATGTGTACACCTTCTCACTTCTTCATCCTCTGAGTCAGTAGACCAGACTTCAACACCACCAAATTCATAATTTGCAACATTTTCCTGCACAATAAGAACATTCATAGTGTTATTTGCAGCAGCTTTCTTCTTCTTAATCTCTTCTAGCTTTCGTAGGTGGTATGCTTCATCGTCTTCACTCTTATTTTTCTCAGTCATCTTCCTCAACATACAATCCTTGGCAAAGTGGTTTTTGCCTCCACAAAAGTGACAATTAAATCCTGAGTCGCTTGACATCTTGCTCTCCTTCTTCGGTTCTTCTTGCTGGGAGTGATCTTCGGTTCCTCCTTTGCCTTTTCTGAACTGTAGTTTCCTTGCCAGTTTCGGTTCTTATTGGTGGGAAACTTTCTGCGAATGAACTTCTTTGGGTTTGAAACCATCAATGCATATTCTTCATTGGTCAGATCAAATTCAGAGAGATCTAAATCTTCTTCTTCTTCAACTGCATTCTTTCCTTTGGAAATTAGGACCAAAGAACCCATGCTAGAAACCACATTCGTTTCTTTAGTCACTGCACCTTCATGTGACTTTAGTATACCCACTAGCTTCGCCAAAGAGTAAGACTTGAATTGTTCATGGGCCTTTACATTAGACACAACAGCCATCCATTCGGATCTTAGGACATTCATGAATGTGACCTTCTGCTCAATAACTTTCCTCTCTATGCCATGCTTTATCATTTTGCTAAGAAGATGATTAAAGCGATCAAAGGCTTGGATAAGCTTCTCTTCAGGTTTCTGCTTGAAGTCTCCAAATTCTGAAAGCAATAGAGTCTGGATCGAATGCTCAAGATCCTCATCGGTAGAATACAGCTCTTTCAACCTGTCCCAAACCTCTTTCGCCGTCGTGCATGAACTAACCAACTGAAAGGTGTCAGACTGTAATGCAAATCTGATCATTCTTAGCGCTTTAATATTGCATACAAACTTCGCCTTTTCATCTTGAGGAAGATCTTTAACATCAACCACAAGTTGGTTGTACTCCTTTTGAGTCTTTATGAGTAGGTTTGTGCCAGTGTGAACGAACGGACCTACAGTGATCGCTTCCCAGATTAAATACCCATTGTCTTCAGAACCGATCACAAAATCTTCAAAGTGATACGTCCATACTTCGTAATCCTGAGTATATAGAATGGGAATCCTAGTTGTGGATCCAATGTTGTTGGAGATATTGATAGGGTTTGCGTTGGAATCGTCGAGTGACATGATGATATTGCGAAAAACCTGTTCAAGATCAGACTTGTAAACAAAGTCAGGGTAAAATCGAAATCCAAGAATTACGTCAACAACAAGATGACGACTTCTAACAGAGATCAATATTAGCGGAAAACCATGAAACCTTCTTCAACAGAAGAGATGCGTATAGATTACACAGTCTCCTGCTCTAATACCAATTGAAGAGATAAAAACTTTTTAGATCGATAGATCTTTAACAGGTAAATAAGCAAGAACAATAAATACTAGAACACACAATGAATCAATCCGAATGTCGAATGATTAGAATGTAGTCACTCCTCAGCAGAGCTCGATTAAGAACTTCAACTGTAGAGGTGTGCTAGGGTTTACAGTACACTTGATAAAATAATAATGAAAAGCGTTAATGATAAGAATGCATGCATGCACCTTATATACTAAACCCTAGAAAGATAAGCACGGTTGGACAGGCCCAAACCAAGAATACAAAATGGACCGAACTACTAAGGCCCAATGGCGCAACCCTTTAAACCCAACAATTATGCATAGTGAATGTGTGGAAACAGAAGATAACACCACAAACATGCCAAATAGTGATCAAGTTCAAGATATAGAGTGTACTTATGTTGATGCACAAAATGCACAAACTGCAAAAAATTATAACGTATTACTCAACCAATATAATGATGTAGAGGAACAAAGGCAAAAACTTTTAGGGCAACTTTATCAATATGGCAATTCGGATTATCAAAGCTATGGTTATGGTGGTGGTTATGATTCTCAAGATCAACCACCTCAACCTTCTGGTCCTCCTGCATGTTCCTGTCAACCCTATGTATGTCCATGTTCAACTTCAGTTTCATGTAACGAATACGGTGATGTTATTAAAGCGGCAATGGGAGCTGTTGACAAAGTTATTTAGACATTTAACATAGGAGATAAAGGTTAATAGTATGTGTGGTTTTTACTTTTCAGTGAATGTTAATGATGTAAAGATTTTCAAATGTAGTAAAGTAGGATAATGATTTTTGTATGAATTATAAAGGGAAAGAAAAGGGAAGAAACAGATCTTTCAGCTGTCTTGAATGCTTGGTTTTCTGCAGGCTTCTATACTCCTCAAAGATCTCATCGGCGGTGAAGGATAATTTTCTATATATTTTTTGGGCGACATTATGGATTGCAACTTCCATGCAATTGTAAATGCTATTTTTAATAAATAAAGCTTTCTTGGATATTTATTTTGGTTATTGTCGACAATAGATTTTTAGGTTTTTCCTTTAAGGGGATTGTATTCAGTACCTCCTCCATCTCCAAAAAAACATAATCTTGAAGTAAAATATAGTTTCATGAGAGTATCTTCTACTAATAATCAAATACCCAAAATACCCTTTGTATGAGAAAACTGGTGGGACTTGTGGACTAAAGGGAACATCATCAACATCTTGTAGTTATTCCTAATAAGAAAAAGGATAACTTGGATTCGAATCTTATAAACATTGAAAGTCTGATATTTGTAGTTCTCAAATTGTTTTGAAAATTTTGATAACTAATAATCCATTTAACTTGGTAGTTACCTCCATATACATTCTATTGGTTCACAGCACCAAATGGTGAACACCCAATGTTTCTAATCATGTACCCGATGCTTGTTCCTCAACAACAGGGTCAGGATCAGATGGATTATGGAGCAGGAATATATACAAAACTAGGATGCTATGCCTATAATACAAAAGTATGAAAATTCATTGCTATTTCTTGCATTTATTGAGCATAAAGTTATTAGAAAAGTGTTGATTTGTGTGTAAATGTAGCAGGGGACAAAGTCCTACTGAAGGTGGGACAGGGGGTGAGCAGGTCGGGCAGGCCGGGCAGCGGCAGGGGCAGCAACAGCAGGGGGCAATACAACAAAGACAAGTTGTGGTTTGGAGGTTTCAAATTGCAATTCATCTTGATTTGATGCTGATTTTAAAGTTGGCAGCTGTTATTGACCTGTTCAATCAAGATGGCTTAAGGAAAATGCTTGTCCTGCTCATATTCTTTGCCTCACTCATCTATCTGTAAGTTATCTTAATATTTCTATTTCTCCTTTAAATACTATTATTATTATTATTATTATTATTATTATTATTATTATTATTATTATTATTATTATTATCTCATCAAACTTGTTAAACAAAAAGAGCAACTGTGGTAAATAAGCTTTTTTTTAATGATTTATAGTATATATTTTAAGCAGCATGAAATATGTTTACATCCAGTATATTTAACAATATATCTTATTTGATCAAAGTTTATGTTCACAAATAACCTATTTTTTTATCATTTGCAATCAAATTTATCTTTTTTGCAAAAAATGTGTGGGAGGTATCAAACGGGCGCTCTTGCACCATTAATACGATGAATCTCACAAGGAATGCAAATGGAAGGTGCACCACCACAATAAACTAGACCGGGCATTAGGGGAGCAGATCTCATCCCTCGAGCTGCAAGGCAATAACATGAAAATCCTCCTTTGTCAGGTATTCCTTCTCTCTCTCTCTCACACTAGTAGTTTTTGTCCCGTTATAGTGTCATACTTTCATTTCCTTTCCTATTACAACATTGTACTTTCATTTCTTTTTCTGTTACAACATTGTATTTTAAAAAAACTAATTAATCATAGCAATTTTATTTAAACATGAAGGAATTCACTGCTATGATTGAGTGGATTTTTAAAGGTTGTTGTTTAATAAGAAAAAGATTGAAAGTACAATGCTACAATTGGGGTGATTTTTTAAAGTTCCATATCTTGATAAGAAAAAGATTTAAGGTACAAAGTTGTAAAATAGAGAAATGAAAGTAAGATGCATAATAAAGAAATAAATGAAAGTAGAATGCTAGTAGTTTGATGTTTCTTGCAGTTAGTTCTTCATAATATTAACACATAAAAATTTATCCTTTGATAATTTCATAAGTAATCAATATTATATCAAAAAAATATTACTAAAATAATGATCTGAAACACTTCTTGTATAAAACTATACATAATCTGGTGTGTTTTATTATGATTACAACAGTAATCTGATTTTTTTGAATAAAGCAATTTAGAAGGTTGTATTGTATGCATTAAAAATACACTTTGAAATTTATTACCTGTTAAGAAAGCGATTTAGGAGGCTGTAAATTTAGGTATATTTTTAGTGAACTTTTTAATTGGGCTACATGCATGAAACAACAACAAACTTCCATTAAGTAATGAAAACAGTAGCACTAACAGCAATAGTAGCATTTCATGGTTGAGCTAAATTACCAAATGTTGTTTATTCTTGCAAGGCAACCAATTGATGAGAATCACCCTCAATCTAATTGTCCATGAGGCAAGTTTTGTTTCTTTTTTTTACTTAATAGACTAAATGTGGACAAGACTTAATCTGCTACGCTTTTGGACCAAATTAGCATTTTTCATAGCTAGTCAACTTGTTATATCTTATGTTGATGAGTTGATCTGATCAAATTAGTTAATAACATATTTATATAACAACTCTATCAGTTAGCTAAACTTGATTGTTTGATTAATAAAAGCTTTTTTAGTTTCAGCTAATGTTCAAGTCATTACTTGCCATCCACGCCCGATGGATAGCAGCCCAGTACACCAGGTGGCAAACCATTGATACGGAGGATTTTTTTTGACATGATATCTAAAACAAGAAGGTGCCCCTTAATAGCAATGTAGTATTAGGTTATATAATTAGGAAAAACCTCTTAATAACAATGTACAATCAGATCCCCTTAATATCAATGTATTACAATTTTTTGACACGATGTTATTGGATGAAATTGATAGTTTTGGTATATATTTGTTTCTATAAGTTTCTATTATGTGTAAATGAGTATCGTAAAGGCACGTCGTATATGCATATCGTAAATGGTTGCTGAAGTTTATGACACGCAAATGTGTGTCATCTTTATTTATGACATGGGCTTTAATGATACGCAATGCGTGTCCTAAACGCGTGTCGTAAGGTTATGACACGCAAATGCATCTCGTATTCCTTTATGACAAGGCCTTCCTTGTCATAAATGTGTGTCGTAAATGCGCGTTGTAAATGTGCGTCGTAAGTTTACGACATGCAAAAGCGTGTCGTCGTCCTTTATGACAGGGCCTTCCTTGACACGCATTTGCGTGTCATCTGTACCCCTTTATGACACGCAATACGTGTCATTAAAGGGTATTTTTCTAGTAGTGATTTTACCCCCGTGTCTATTTCACCCCAGAGTCCCTTCTGACTAAATCAGTGTTTTCAACCGAATGGGTCTATTTCACCCCACATCATATAGCATTCAGGCATACATGTATACAACAAGAGTCATAAAGACAGCAAGCACATACGACACTCAGTGTCCTACAGTATAGTGAGAGGACTCACCTTAATCAATAGCATATAACTCTCACACCCGAGCTGATGGTCCAAGAATATCCTCACACTATATATATATATATATATATATATATATATATATATATATATATATATATATATCAAAACCAACCCTAATTGATAATTAGGATAATGATCATAATCAAGGGTCCAAAACACACTTTCTCTCTTTTAGGTAAAAGATCATTCTACCCTTTCAAAGCTAAACCCAACCAAACATGGCCCAGAGCCCTAAGATGACCCATTTCTTCTTCTGGGAGTAAGCCATGCGTACTCCTTCACCACTCCATGCGTATTGAGTTTCCACTGAAATGGGGCAGGGACACGCTACGCCCTGTATACTCTAGGGTTACGCCCTGCGTAAACCCACTATTGCCAAAATCCATTATTAAGTCCTTAATACCTAAAAACTAAGCGTCCAACTCATAGATCTTAATCTAAGGAAGGTCTTAACTGATAAAGTCATCGACGTTAAGCTTTTGCATGGCTTAATAGAGCATAAAATCAATCCCTAGATCCAAATCACCTTTAATGACTTCAAACCCTTGCATGGGTGAAAGTGTTGGATTAGGTGTCTAAGTTCATAACTATTCTTGGAATGTACTTGACCCGGTTGGCATGGTCCATTTGGGTTGCATGGCATTGCAACACTTGGATAGACTAAATGAGAGAAAGGACACTTAAGGATCATTAATATATTATAAGTTCTAATATATTAATAATATTATTTAATTAGTATTGATCAAAGAATTAATTTGGAATTAATTAAGTGATCAAAAAGAGACTAATTAAATATATGAAGTTGATTGTGTAAATCATCTATTCTTGTATAGTGGGCTAATGATCCATGGTTTGTATGGACTGGGTTAAAACCCATAAGGTGCTCCATGGATAATCCATGGAGGTTAGAAACCCATGCATCATGGAATATGGAAAGCCATGACAGTTAGGGTTTACATGATGTAACCCTACTTGTGCCACAACTATATAAAGAACCCTATGCAAGCAAAATCGACACTATGACTACTACTTGTACAAGAAATAGGGCAAGCCGATTTTGAGGTGTAAGTGAACTTCTCTCAAGGTCATTCCCAGTGTTGTGGTGTTGTGTGAGACATTTGAGGCATCACACTTGAGGTGCTAGGCTCACAAGGTTCTCAAGGAATCCAAACCACAAAAGGTATGTTCTTCTTCTAGCATTTATGTTTAAAAGTTCCCCAATGCTATGCTAGATAGTTGAAGAACCTTGGAAAATAAATTTTGCATGTATCTTAGTAAAACATAGATCCAAGGTTTCTAGGGTTCATGTACACCATAGGAGTGTTAGACTGATCAAAACCCAACAGTGGTATCAGAGCCTAGGCTTGTTTTCTTGATATTTGATCCAAACTTGCTGAAAAACTCGAAAAATTGGCTGTCTGAACAGTGGACTCGCCGAGTCCATGGGGGGACTCGACGAGTTCATGCCTATATTCAACCAACTCGACGATTCAGTTCATGCACTCGGCGAGTTGGCTTGTCAGAGTGTAGTTTTTCGACTTTTGCTGCTGGAAATGGACTAGAAACATTACCCTAAACTGTTTTGGTCTAATAAAACTTGTTTTAGATGGTGTAATGGTTATGCTAATCCATTTTCAATAGCTATTATCTAAATTTCAAGTTTTATATGGTTAATTTTATGATTCTTGAAATTGTTGATATGCATGTTCATGAACTTATGACTTTAGAAGATCATGGGAATTATTTGTAACTTGCTTGTTAGTCTAATTCTTCATCATTATGTGTTTTAACGGAATCCATAATTTGTCCTCAAGTTATGGATTACCAAAAAGTCATTCTTTTAAAGTCCATTAAAGAAACACAAAGGTTACATAAAATGAAAAGTCTCTCATTTTAATAAACAATTAACTCATAAGTTATGAAAGATGAAAAGTTTTGAAAGTTACAAAACTTGCCCTCAAGTTTTGGAACATGTAAAGTCATTTTAAAAACTTTAGTTCCAACCCCTAGAATTTTAAAAGTTAAAATTCAAACCTTATACTTTATAGTATTATAAGTTAATAATATATATATATATATATATATATATATATATATATATATATATATATATATATATATATAAGAGCAAGTCATTCTTACCGTTAGTAGGCCTCATTCATGAAGTCGGTCTATAAGGGGGTATAAGGTTGTTGCCTATAAAATGGCAGCTTAATGGGTGTCCACTCTCACCCACCGCTTCCTTGACTGGTGGAGGGTCGTTAGCCGAACGGGTAAGACAAGGACTATAATTCTCATTAAAAGTATAATGATGAATATAAAGTAACTAAATGTTTTATAAAAATTCCCAATCTCGGTTACTTTAGGAAAATGTGAATAAGGTGCTAACCCATGAAATTACACTTTGCACTTTGATTAAGTCGTTAGTGGAGCGTGTGTGGTTAACCGGCACACTAACCTGGACTTAACAAGGTAGGCAAAGGGTAACTTAATGTTTATCATAGTATCGATGGAGCGCGTGTAGTTAACTAGCACATCGATTGAAGGGTAAATATTAAGGGTACCAAGTATATTTGCATGGTTATTCACACCTTGTTTTGTGATCCTCGGCATCCCAGTCACAAAACCTGAAGGGCACACTCG